ATACATCATGGAATATATATATTCTATTATATTTCATTATCTGAGAAGCTCTAATTGCCAGTCATAAAGTTTGAAATAGGATGCTCACTAATGAATATTTGTTAGAGACTCAATCATGGAATACGATTTTCCCATCGTCCTAGATAACAACATCGATATTTTCACGTATATCATCATTTTGATTTGATTCATAGAAATGTGATTTAGTTTTCTTATCATTAATCTTACCCTTTTACTTGCAACTTATTTATTATCCAAGTTAATACCACTTTGCTTCATTCGATTACCATACCACGGACGGACAAACAGAATGATAGACAAATAAAAAAAAAATAAAACAAATATTCGTTCAATAATTTCGAAATATATTTCTTTAATAAATTAGGAACAAATTAAAATAATAAAATGAATAAGTGTGAAACAGCTCACGATCTTACGAACACACACTAAATATTTTTGGTTCGCTTTTCTTTTCTTTTTGTTTTGATTGACAATAAAAAAAAATAAAAAAGTGAATTTCTTTTTTTATAATCGCAGGACTTTGTCATCGGTCTCAGCATACTGTCACGTGGCTCGATAGACGAAAAATTACGTTGGACGTTTTCCCTTTACGACATCAACGGGGACGGCTGCATTACGAGAGAAGAAATGACGGACATAGTATCTGCAGTCTACGATCTCATGGGAAAATTTGCTGACCCAACTTTGGACCACGAAGGCATCAGAGAAAAAGTCGACCTAATGTTTCAGGTGAGACAAATGAGATTAAAGAAAGAAAAAAATAAATGAGAGAGAAAAAATACAGCAACTCGTTTAAAATAAATTTTACGATTATATAATGGGTTACATTACAGGGTTGCATCAGGGTTGTGTCAGAATTTATCTATATGGTTATATTAGTTATGAGTATGTTAATTAACTCATTATCTTGATATTAACCATTTTAATATAATAGCAAACGATGATATTATCTATATACATGCTTGCGTCAGGGTTGTGTCAGAATTTATCTATTTGGTTAGATTAGGTATACGTAATTAACTAATTACCTTGATATTAACCATATTAATGTAATAGCAAACGATGATATTATGTATATACAGGGTTGTGTCAGGATTTATCTATATTGTTATATTAGGTATGAGTAATTAACTCATTGTCTTAATATTAACCATTTTAATAGCAAACGATGATATTATTTATACACAGGGTTGTGTCAAGGTTTTATCAGGGTTGCATCAAGGTTTATCTATATATAGGGTGCTCCAATAATTATTATCACCTAAATATTTCCGTTATATTCACATCATCAAAAATAATAATTGTTATTTGGAAGAATAAGAAGTGTATGTGACTCATTTTGAAATAAATTTGTTGGAAAGGTTTTTTTGAATTAAATATTATAGATATAGTTATTTGATAAATTGTGGAACTAGGGACATAAATTCTTGATGAAAATGAATGATTTGAAACGCCATTTAAAAGACATTCTGCAAGTATATCTGTAGTAGTAACAGTCCTTTCTAGTCAGACAGCAGTAGTAACAGCTGTCTGGTATAGACACTACGCTTTAAATGAATTACCGAGTAAATTGAGTTACCTTAGTTACGCGGAATGCCTTCTATCTGTTTGAACAGTTTCGAGGTGTTAGGGTAGCTCTTATTTAGCCATTTTGACGTTTCCTTATATCCGATTAACAATAGAAAAACAAATAACGTAAAATCTCTTCCTTCAATTTTTTTTTGTTTTTAATTGAAAATAAAATCTCAAATGAACATTTCTATTTAACGTAAAACTGTATAATGTAAGTTACGTGAATTTATTTCATTTTCTTTTACAATAGATATTAACCAATTAACTCGTTTGAGAGAGCCCACCATTTTGTGTTACAAGAATCGAGACATGACGAAAATACTCGTCAATCAAAGAGTAAATTGCACTTATTAACAACACAATCTTCATCAGTGCTAGTGTTCTCAGGTTCAATTTGATTTACAGTTTCGGATACCATTTTCATCAAATCCGCTTCGTCAACTTCTTCTTTCACTAATAAACCTTGAACGTCCACAATAACCATATCCACAAAACCTTCGCCTCCGATTGATTTAGCAAGTTCTAATATGCCACCAATTTCATTTTCTGACGATTCACGCACGTTTTCTATTTTAACTGAAGAGAGCCATATCTTCTTCTAACACGCATTTAACGTTGATGTTTTCAGTTCACAACAGCGTGAGACACTTCTGTTTTTAGGCCATGGAGATTAAAAGAAATACTTTCCGTAATACTGTATCTTTAAGACGGTAAACCCTGCCGCGGCTGTAGAAGTACAGTATTGTAAAAAGGTTTTTTGAAAGAAAACCGTTTTATAGGATGCCGTGTTGTTGGAGGATTTGCCACAATTTGTGAATCGTGTTATATCGAAATCGTGTTAGGAGAAACCGTGGTGTAGGAAAGATACCTGTAATAATATTTTATTATTATTTTCTTGTAATATGAACATGTTTTTTTTTCTTTTTTCTTTTTCATATTGAAAGTGATACGTCCGTGTAATTAATTATTAGTTTATTGTTAGTTTATGACTGTGATTAGACTGTTCTATATTTGTACACCTTTAATAATATCCCTAAATTGGTTCTATATTGTTATCTTTCTCACTCACTCACTCTCTCTCTCTCTCTCTCTCTCTCTCTCTCTCTCTCTTACCCTTCAATTCATTAAACTATAATCATTGGCTTAGGGCTACGAGAGGAAATTTCTGTCTCGGAAGATTCTATAACTAGTTACTAAGGTCTATTGGTTAACTATCAAACACACTGAAAATTATATATTCATCAAAGCATGATTGTAGAAAGTTTCTTGTGTATACTCTGCATCGTTAAATATTTAAATGAAAAATTACAAAATGATTTATACTGACTCGTTGAAAAATATATTTCAAAGTTCTTAATGGTAAACACAAAGTATTTTTATTTTATTAAATAAATTATAGATTAAATTAATTTAACAACTTAACACGGTATTTTCGTAGGAATTTAATATCTACGATGTTATAGAAAGATTTGATCTCATATCACTTGTACAAAATTAATATTAACACTTTCATCGTAGAAATTCATTTAGAAAATGATCATCGTTCAATTGGAACAATATTTAATTAAGTATCTTTATTGAAACTGTCAAACGTTTAAACGATCTACTGTAATGGATATTAGGAAAATTTATTTTCTAATTGAATATCCATTGAAATTTCGTAAATCATTTGATTATCAAATGCTGATTAGTTCCGCCATTATCTATAGGAAGTGTGTTAACAGCATTGGTATAGTTTGTTTATGAGAACTGTAACATGATCTAAAAGTAGGGTTAGGATTCTTCGTTGGAAAGTGAGCTAGCTCATTGGTGAATTTTGCACGAGCACTAAATCGTTAGACGACAGGAACGAATCGTGAAATTATTAGCGTGCCTTTAGCGATAAATAAAGCACCGGATATGCTCATGCCCCGAACGACGAAGTGCGTTTTGTGGTAGTGGTGGTAGTGGTAATGTTAGTGGTAGTGCTGGTAAACGATGTAAATTCGTGTTCTGGTAGGCGTGGTTAATTGAAATCTCGTTTTACTACGAGTTACTGGGTTTCGTCATCGAACCTTTCCAAATTTCATTATGGTTTACGACGTTTACCATTCTAATTCATTCACACACGTATTTTACTAATGAAAGTAAAATCACGAAATATATGACGTGACTTTGTTAAATTATTTCAATGAATATTTTTTCGTTGTTGTTGACTAAAAATCTTGAACTATATTGTACGAGAATTTAAAAGGGAATCGTTTTAAGATGGACACACAAGGTTATTGTATACGATTAGTCATGGTTCGTCAAGTTTCAATATATATAGTTATATATCTCATTCGAGGGTGATAACTCGTTTATAAGCTCGTCAAAATAGCATTTTACTTCCACCTGGCCCAGTTTTCCTAAAAGACTAACTATATTTATCTTAGCAAAATGTACTAAGTTATTTATTCATTGGTATTTATCGCGTAAACAATCTCTTGGCTAATGCATCGTTAAATAACTCATTAATAAATCTATTCGATACGTTAATTAAAAAGAAATAAAACACATAGCATTTTTTTATTCGTTTAAATATTTTTACATGTATAAAATGATGTTAAAATTAATTTGATGGAAGATGTCAAGTATATTTTGATGTTTTTGACGTAAACGTTTGAAGTATTTGAAATAGAAAAAAATCAAAATTTGCAATTTTTATTGATGAAATTTTAAATAATTATTTAAACTACAAATTTATTCTACTTGTTAGTAATTTTTGTTACGTTGATTTAGTTATTACTTTATTTATAAAAATAAGTCCACTTTGATGAAAATTAAAAGCTGAATTTAATGTTTAAACATGTAAATGGTGATCGTGTATCAACGAAGTTTCCCAAATTGAAATTCACGGTGACAAATCTTAGGACGAACTTGAGAACGATTCGAAGTATGCACTTTATCTAGAACAAACCTAATCCACGAACGTTTCGCACTTTGCGGGTTCGGTTAGACCACGCTAATTTGCTTTCGCACTTGACGTTAACCGCAAATGATTCGAGTTCACAGTTTGCATAATTAGACATCTTTGAGTCTGTCGTCGAATGTAATTTCGTGGAATCGATTATTAACAATCGAAAATTCATTGTATTTCTCAAAAATACCTATATTATAAAAACCAATTATGTGTTTATCATAAACAAAAATCTACTTACTCAATAATACAATAATTTAATTTGATAATATATTCTAAATAAATTACAAGATTATTTTTTCAATATTTACATTTTTAAGAATAAATAAAAATATGCAACTAAAAAATAAAAAATAATAAAACAATGAAAGTAATAAATAAAATAAATAAACCTCGAAAAATTATAAATATAATATAAAATAATTATTTAAATATAGTTTAGTGGTCAGAATTCTAAGAGAAATCCCCGACAGGCCACGTGTGTACTTTGTATTAAACAATAAATCCTGATGCAACCCTGACACAACCCTGACGCGACTTATATGGAAAGTTTTATTGTCATGTATCGCTGACCGACGAAAAGTTTTAAGTCGCGTCAGTCACCAATGACTGACGTTCAACTGTTTTTATAAAACAAAGTAATGCTCGTGGCCTGACAGAGATTTCCATAGAAATTCTACAGAAATTTTCACTTGAATAAAATGAACTATCAAATAACCACAACCAATAGTGATCTAATTGAAATAATAAATAAAATAAAATAATAAACTTGATCAAAGTTGTATGTAAGATTAGAAGATACGAAGATTCAGTTCCACGCTTATTCTTTCTTTGATTTTTTTTTTATTATTTTATTTCTTTTTTTATCTTTCTTCGTAGAACTTTTTCCTTATTTTTCCATTGGTTGCACTTTTCGCAATGTTGCACTGGTCTCCTTTTCCACGTTGCTAACAGCCTCGTGAAGTCTCGGTTCTTTGACGTGTTATACATCTCTAAGGTGGGGTAAAGAGGGTTCACTTTCAAGTACGTTCATGTTACGCGCATCATAAAACGGTGGTGTGGTTGGAAGCTTTCGCTAAAAGCTCGTTTAAAGCGTGGAAAAGTATTTTCGTCTTACGTCAAATATACTCCATCTCTGAGGTACAATCTTAGAAACTAGCTTTACTCTCTTCGTGCAATTAATTTATTGCAATCGCTAAAACGCCTAATGCTTGTTACTTCTTAGAAAATGTTAGAAACATATCGAATGGAAAAACTCGTCAAACTTTTCCTATCGATTGTCGATTACACCATTTTCATTTTATTATTATTGTTTGTTTTCTTTACTTCGTAAAAAGAATATTACATAGCAAGTACCACGTTTCTGAAATATTTCGTATTCTACTCGAAATGAAACTTTTATATTTCTTCTTGAATAATCAAAAAGAAAAACAATATAATTTTGTTCTTTTATTTTTAGTATAACAACGATATCGGATTTTCAATAATATCGATGCATTTTAATGGCAACATCGATAAGACAACTTTTCGTAACTTTGGCTTTACTTTATCGAATAATCGTCTAATCCAATTATCCAACTATTTTATTTATTTACTTCACTCCCCTTCTTCTCACCTCCCTTGCCCGTTATCTTTTCTACTTTTATCGTAAGATTCTTCTCATTTGGTTTATTACATTTATTTTTTCATTATATTCATATTTGAAAAAGTATTGGGTCTACAAGTAAGTTTCCAGCGTTTTTTAATAGATGGTGTCACGAGTAGATTCCGGTTAGAGACCCTATAGGAGGGACGCGCCATGTGGATTGCTGGGGGACAGGAACTCGTGTAGTCACGTGATTGCGCGCGAAATATTCAAACATTGAAATAATGATGAAATAATGAATTGCATTAAATACAGAAAAAAAATGAACTATATTTAATGATAATTAAAAATTTATATTAAAATAGAATAGGTTACACAGCCGTTTCATAGCTCCGTTTCATAGCTCCGTTTCCTGACCGACCGCGTTTATTTACTTTTCAGATCACGCCTATTCTAAAGAAGTTTTAACTTCAAAAAACAATTAAACATAAATATCACAATAAAAACTATAAATATTCCAAACTTAAACTAACCACAGCCGTTAATATATTATTATACTAAAGATAAACATAGCTGCGCGATGCAACGGAAGCTGTCCCCCCACGATTTCAGCCTTGTAATCCACATGGCGCGTCCCTCCTACAGGGTCTCTAATTCCGGGCAGAAATGTCACATCTATGTGTCATTTTCGAAGCTTGTGTATCTATTAACAACATTGCATCATCATATTTGGGCAATTCTATCGGCGTCGTACATTTTATGAATCAAAAACATTACAAGTTATGTGCCAAATAAGCGTCATTTGCTAGAAGCGCTGCTTCTATTCTTTAATATGAAGAAAAGTGCAGCTGAGGCCTATCGTTTGCTTCTGGAAACTTACGGGGCAGAATGTATTGGTGAATCGACGTGTCATAAGAGGTTGAAACGGTTCAAAAATAGTGATTTTGACGTTAAAGACAAGGAACGCTTCGGAAAGCCGAAAAATTTTGAAGACGAGGAATTGGAGGCTTTGTTGGATGAGGATCCGTGTCAAATTCAAGAAGAGCGTGCTGCATCATTGGGCGACACACAACAAGCCATTTCCCTGCGCCTGAAAGCTTTGGGATTCATCCAAAAAGTTGGAAATTGGGTGCCGTAAGATTTGAAGCCGAGAGATGTCGAACGGCGATTTTGCATGTCAGAAATGTTGCTGCAGCGGCATAAAAAAAAGTCGTTTCTGCATCGTATTATCACTGGTAACGAAAAGTGGATCTATTATGATAATCCTAAACGCAAAAAAACATATGCAAAGCCTAGCGAGCCGGCTAAATCGACGCCGCAGCGAAATATTCACATGAATAAGGTCATGATCTACATATGGTGGGATCAGAAGGGTGTCATATACTACTAACTGCTTCTGAATGGTCAAACCATCAAAGGACCGTTGTATCGAACCCAACTAATTCGTTTGAAGCGGGCATTGGCGGAAAAACGACCAGAATATCAGACCAGCCACGAGTCCGTAATTTTTCACCACGATAACGCTCGGCCACGTGTTGCTGCTTCGGTCAAAAACTACTTGGATAATAGTGGATGGGAAATTCTGCCTCACCCGCCTTATAGTCCAGATTTGGCGCCATCCGACTACCATTTGTTTCGGTAGATGCAGAACGCTCTTATCGGAATGTGCTTCACTTCAGTAGTGGGAATCAAAAATTGGCTCAATACGTTCTTGGGCTCAAAAGATGAGAACTTTTTTTGATCCGGAATTCGCAAATTGCCAGAAAGATGGGAAAAAATTGTATCTTTCGATGGACAATATTTCGAATGAAAAATATGTAACCATTTTTTCAGAATAAACCCTCAATTTTTTTTTAAAAAACGCTAGAAACTTACTTGTAGACCCAATACGTATAAATTATTCTCAAATTATTCAGTAGTTTCTCAATCAAAAGAAAAAAAGAGTATGCTGTGTTTTCATTGATCGATAAAACGAATTCGTGAAAAATTTTTCACGTATAATAAAATCAAAGTTAAATTGGAAATTTTTATTGAGTGATGTGATCAAATATCATCGATCAATTTTCTGTAGAAAGTTTCGTTTTGAATTTGTACATTTTTTCTCGATGTAAAAACTCGTAGACGATTGGACGATCAATAATGGTTCATCGTTTGGCATATACAAAATGACAGTGCTTGGAAACAATCGACGTGGTAGAACACACACCCCCAAACAACTTCATTCGTTCGTTTCAATTCGATAGAAAGCTAGTGTCTAAAGGAGGTATAGGTATGAGGGTTAGGATGAATTGAGGAAAAAACCTAACAAGAAATACAAAAAAGTATAAAAAGAAGTGGGTGAGGATGGGTGGGTGTGGTCGGGGGTGGGGGAGAATGGAGAAAATACCCTCACGGGTTTGGATGATACAAGAAACGAAGATTTGTTTGTATCAGCTTGTCACATTGTTAGCGGTGATATGACAATGTGTCTGTGGTATTTTCCCTTATATCTTCGTCCTACCAACCTAAACACAATAAGCTTGAACCGACTCACCAAAGCCTCTCTTCTTCTTCTCATTGTCTTCGTTGTCTTTTTTGTGCTCTTTTTTCTTCCCTTTTATTCCCCATTTTTTTTCTCACAAAAGAACGCATACACACAAAACAAGACCTCGTTTCAAACGAAAATGCAATTTTCTCTCGACCGTATAAGTTTTCGATTGAACTATGAATAATTTATTGTGTTTCATCTATTGTATTATACCTTTTTTTCTTCCTTTTTTTTTTTTTGTTACTTCATTTTATTTATAATAATAAATAAACGAAGAATTTACGAGTTTCGTTATCTTTCCTTATAAAGTTTGAAAGTAAATAATAAAAACACTTTAAAAAATGTTTGCAAATCAAATATTTGAATAAATAATGATAAAAATTGAACACTAATATTGTAATTAATTGATACATATTTTTAAAATAATATTTAGTAGTTTATCTGAAATTAAGGCCGTTTCTTTCCCCCACTACATCGTCCGTTTCCTTTCCCCCACTACATCGTCCGTTTCATTTTCCAATTACATCACCGCGTTTCATTTTTTCAAATCATACCCATTCTAAAGAAGTTTTCACATCAAAAAACCATATACGTTTTTTTTTGTTTTAGAAAATGGATGGAAATAAGGACGGTGTAGTAACACTTTCGGAATTTCTGGAAGCATGTCAGGCTGATCCGGATATTTCAACGAGTATGGCGGCATTGGACACGGCCTTCTGACACTCGGCACGACCACGATACACACCATGGACTTGAACGAACGAGGGAAACTCAGAGTCCTTTGGCTGCTGGAGATCGATCGTTTGCCATTTGTACATTGTAACTTCCTGGAACATAGGAAGCATCTTTCACGAGGAGGTGGTGACTCGAATCAACGTGTGTGTCCTCCCCAGGAGGATTCCAAAGTTGTTGTCTTGTTCGCACGTCCTTTTCGAATTGATCTCGTTTAAAACAAATAAAAAGTGTACGAAACAAATGAAACAAGAAAAAGTTACTTCAGATATACATATATCTATATATATATATATATATATATATATGTGTGTAGATGATATGTATGTATGTATGTAACTGATAAGAGGAGGAGGAGGAGGAGGTTAGGGGGAAAGGGGGGAAGCTAAAGAACAGCCAAAAGATTTCAGGGAATTTTTGAAGAATACGCCGTACGAACGTTTTCTTCTTTACGAAATAGAAAAAAAAAGTCAAAGTATACTTTGTTCTTTGAAATCCTGAGATACAGAAAGAGAAAGAGAGAAAGAGAGATATATATATATATACATATATATATAAATATATATAAAAGAAGACAATTGTTGAAAAGAGATTATTATTAAATTGATGAGAAAACTATTTTGAATTTAAATCCGATGATGTTTTAACGATAAATCTTACCGTGTTACATGTAAAGGTGTAATTTTGATGTAAAAGAAGAAATTAGAGAGAAAGAGAAAGAGTTTAAAGACAAGAGAGTAATATTTGATTTTTTGTTTTGTTTTTGTTTTGTTTTTTAATTTTTATTTAATAATTTTATTCATTACTCTTAAACGAGTGCCAAAAAACTGATCGTTGTGTATGTGAAGATAAATAAATTCGTTTGTAAAATGTTACCGTTCGTTGGATTGGTCGATATAATGGTATAGAGAAATATAATAAAGGAAAATTACTAGATCTGGTTAATTTTTAGTTCTATTATTTAATGGACAGTTCTACACTGAGAGAAGAAAAAGAAAAATGAAAAGAAAATGTACTTAATCAACGAAAATAATTCTTACATATGGTAACAACTAACAGTTAAATAATTATTCAAATTATTTATATTAAAATTAATAATGATTTATAATTAAATCATATTTATCGTCACAATAATATCAGAAAGAAAGAGAGAGAGAGAGAGATAGCGAGAGAGAGAGAGAGAGAACAAACGGACACGAGAGACCAAGTTAACTATAGGTGGTATTTAATTTTAGCAAAAAGCAGTAATTATAATATCTACGATATTGTGTAAGATTAAAAAGAAGAAAGAAGAAGAAGAAGTAAAAAAAAATAAAGAAAAAGAACAAAAAAAATTACCAGAAAAAAAAATAAGATAAAAGGTTCGTTGTAAAAAAAAAAAAAAATAGTAATTTCCTAGTTCACCGTGACCAAAGTAAATAATTAATTAATTACTTACTCACTCGAAAGCAGCTTATAAAATATAAAATAGAAACAGAAATAAATGAAAATTATAACAAGCAAAGAAAACAACAACAACAACAACAACAACAACAATAATAATAATAATAATAATAATAATAATAATAATAATAATAATAATAATAATGATAATGATAATGATAATAATAAAAAGTTACATCGCATAATATCATAGAATTGAAATTTCTTTCAGTGTAGATACGCGGAATAAAACTTTTTTTCTTCATTATTTTTCGTTTTCTTTTTTGTCTTAGCATATCGAATAAATAAATAATTATTTTATGTAAAAATAAATAATAAAATCGCAACGCATCGATGCCTGTCAAGAAAGTCTTTAATTGACATTCTTTTGCGCTTCCTATTGATTTATCAAAATCAAATCGTGATTGAGTCGTGCGACGGGTAAACGAAATTCACTCGAGAGACGAACAATTTTTATTTTCTTTTCTCTCTTTTTTGCAATTTGTATCGTGAAAAAACAATGCGTAATTTCCTACAATTTCCTAAACGTATATGTGTATACATATATATATATATATAATTGTGTTGGTAATAATGACAATAGTACGAGTCATATAATTGAAAACAAACATTTATACTATGATTATGAATAATATTAAATAAATCATTAAATTATATGAGCCGTTTATTTTGAAAATGACCTAACTCAATTTACGAGTTTGCTTTCAATGCAATTAAAAATATACCAACGAGTTATACTGCATCTAAGGGTGTTCAATTTATAGTTCCTATTAAAATAGTGGCAATTAATATGCGTTTTCTTAACAAGGATGGAGTTAGGCTACTTTCTAAATTAACAACCAGATTCATTATAAAATTTGAAGTAGCCCAAATCCATTCAACATAATTTAAGACGCTTCAAATTGAAAAAATACAATACTCAATTTATTTGACATATCCTTAAAACACTTCAGAAACATAATTTATGCGATTGAAAACATTTTTTAACTACATCAATTACAAAACAATTTACTGCTCATTTATATTTTGAGTGTGTAAAAGGGATTTGCAGAAATCATGATATATGTGAAAGTAGGTGCATTATGTTCTTGAATTTTGCTGTTGTAATTTGTCTGATATTTTCATACAGTGATGTCAATATAATATTGTCGAGCTTTTTTGGTCTACCCAGACGTGGTAATAAATTCAGGATTTTCAAATTTTCATTCTCATTCATCGATGTCTTATAGAAAAATTGATAGKGTTCATTTCTGACAAAACGTATTCAAGCATATTTTTAACCAGTTTATCGATTCTCGGTTAGAATTCTGTACCTTTTTAA